ACACATTTATGATCAGAGAATAAACTATTTTGTTAACACGAGGAAGAGAAGTAATTTTAATCTTACAATTTCTAATTGTTGATTGTAGTCCTCACTTTCTATAACCTTGATCAGTGGCTTGAGTTTTTCTTTCAGCTTTTTTCCTTCATTCACTGGAAGAATGAACCGAAGTCTCATGTGAGCACGTTCTATCTTCATTTTCTCCTTTAACTGCTTTATCACTTCCAAAGCCTATTAAGACAAAATTGAAAATGCTTGCAATTTCTTTGCTGTTTCTGCTGCCTTATTTTATAAGGTATTCATAACAAAGCTGTTTCCATCTAGCTGCATTAGGCAGTGGTTTCTTAGATATATGGTTTCTTATATATGAGCATAAGCCAACAGAGAATAGGTAAATTGGACTTGAAGATGAAAAACTTTTGTGCTTCAAAAAACTATGAAGAAAGTGAAAAGACAACCTAAAGAATAGGGGAAAATATTAACAAATCACATATTTGATAAGGTACAGTATTCAGAATATAGAAAAACTGTTACAACTCAATACTAAAAAGACAAATAACCAATTAAAAATTGGTCAAAGGATCTGAACATTGATTTCTCCAGAGAGACTAAAGGTCAATAAGCACATGAAAATATGCTCAAATCATTAGTCATGAGGGAAATGCAAATCAAAACTGGAACGTTAAGCCCAGGATGGCTATAATCAAAATGACAGAAAATAACAAATATTGTCTAGAACATGGAAAAATTGGAACCCTTATACATTGATTGTGGGAATAGAAAACGGTACACCTGTTTTGGAATATGATTTGGCAGTTCCTCAAAAGGTTAAACAGTTATAATATGATCTAGCAATTTCATTGCTGGGTACAGAGAATGAAAATATGTGTCCACAGAAAACCTGTAATGCATTCCATAGCATTACAATATCTAAGAAGTGGAAACAATCCAAATGTCCGTCTACTGATGAATGAATAAATAAAATGTGGTGTTTCCATACAATGGGATACGATTCAGTCATGAAATGTTAATATTTGTCTGTAAAAAAAAAAATATATGTAGCAAGAATAAAGTACTGATACATGTTACAACATGGATGAACCTTGAAAAGGCCACATTACATGATTCCAATTATATGAAATGTCCAGAATAAACAAATCCATAGAGACAGAGGTCGCTAACGGCTTGTGAAAGATGAGGAGTGACATATAATGGGTTCAGGGTTTCTTTCTTGGGTAGTGAAAATGTTCTCAGATTAGGTAGTAAGAAAGGTTGCAAAACTTTGTGAATATACCAATGATGTGTACACTTTAAAAGGGTGACTTTTATGGTATTTGAATTATGTGTTTTAAAAAAATCTAAAGCGTTACAGACTCTTTAGAAATCCAAGTTTTATCTTTGAAGGTTTGATTTGGATAGGAAGATTAGAGTCCTATGTATATTTGTAGTTAAAAAGCATTCCATTTCTCTTCTCTACAATACAGATCCTTTCATTGCCCTCCCCCCAAATCTTGCTTTCAAGTAGTATCAGTTTATTATTACAGACCAATTATTTTGATGATTTCTTCAGAGAAAACTGATTTTCATGGATACTTTTAATGACATTAAAAACCACTAACCTGCTGTTTTGTACTCTTGTTGGTGTTGACTGAATAGTGGATGTCCTTCATTGCTCTCTCGATAAGGATAACAGTGTATGGTCTCTTTGTTTCAGGGTTCACACATTTGTCAGCTACAATAGTTGCAATGTCCCTAAACATTTGCTCCAGCTGTGTGTGCCGTTCTTTATCTGATACTTGAACCTCCCCTTTAGTCAAAATCTAAAAAAGAAAAAAAGAAATCCCACCAAATTTAAGAAAGCAATGCCTTGATTACATACTATTTGTTAACTAACCCCAAGAATAACTAAGGAGAAAATTAAATTTCATCCTCTCTAGCTACTGAAATTTGAGCTTTGCCTAAAGAATGCACTAGATCAGTGATCGGCAAATTGCGGCCCCTTGAGTGTGGCTCTTCCACAAAATACCATGTGCGGGCGCGCACGTACAGTGCGATTGAAACTTCGTGGCCACACTCAAGGGGCCGCATGTGGCTCTTGAGCCGCAGTTTGCCGACCAATGCATTAGATTATCTTGTGCTCCAAAACATCACTTGTTTTTTTTTAAAGGGTCACCATGCTAAACTTGTTATTTTCAAGAAAATTGATTTTAAATATAATGTTGTAGGCAATAAACAATGTTTCAAGAAAAACGATTTAAATGTTACATGCAATAAACATTAATATTTCAAGAAAGATGATTTTAAATATAATATTACATGCAATAAAAATTAATATCAAGCAAAATATCACTTATTTAGGATTAGGAGGGGAAAAGGCAATCTTAGTAAAGGGTTTAAATCAGGGGTCCTCAAACTACGGCCCGCGGGCCACATGCAAATACAAATATTGTATTTGTTCCCGTTTTGTTTTTTTTACTCCAAAATAAGATATGTGCAGTGTGCATAGGAATTTGTTCATTTTTTTTTTTTAAACTATAGTTCGGCCCTCCAACGGTCTGAGGGACAGTGAACTGGCCCCCTGTTTAAAAAGTTTGAGGACCCCTGGTGTAAATGATGAACTACTTGAAAAGAAATTCTACTTTCAGGCATATTACATTAAAAATACATAAATGAACAAAATAAGGCAATTTAGTAGAAAATTTAATTTCTAGAGGCTTTGGCAAAAAATAAAAATCCGTTTCCTAACTATGTACGGTGATTTCTTGTGATCATTTCATAAGGTTTATAAGTATTGAATCACTATGTTGTACACCTGAAACAATACTTTATGTCAACTATACGTCAATTTAAAAAAACCATGTCCTGAATTATTAAAAGTGATACTGTGCAGGTCAACTTACTGCGTGGTAACTGTTCACTCAAAAATACTTAAAAGATTAACACATCTCTAAGTACTCACACTACAGACGGGTCAGTTATGCTGCAGCTGTTAAAACCCACCTGCTTACAGATTTCAGTCTGGTCATCTGTTCCAAATGCACTGATGAGATCTTCCTTCTTTGCAACCTGACCTTTAGAGACATTTACAAACACCGAGTGGGTCTGCAGAACTTCATCAAGGTCCTTTTCCCTTGTGAGGACAGGAGAGAGTCCTAAGTGAATACACCTGAAACTTGGAAACTCATTCACATTTAAATACGAGATGGCAACGAAACAAATAGCAAGAAACAATAAATGCTCCTAAAAACGACCCTCGGGGCCGAGGAAACATTTTCAAAAACGCAGAACCACATATATATTCGCATTTACTCATTGGAGAAAAGCGTCGTGGGAGGATGTATGGGACCTGGCGGATCTGGGTCCGGGTTCGGGTCCGGGTTTGGCCGCGGAGTGCCGATCGCTAGATGGCAGCAGTGAAGACGTACGCACTTGGAGATACCGGGATAACTAACATCTGTGACACGAGCTGTACTAGAGTATTTTTAAGACTAGGTTCTGCCTCTATCATTATTCTGGCCAAAAGGCCATAATTATGGAGGTTTCTTGTGACGGCATAAAGGAAAGCAAAACCAAACTCCAAACCAACAGACCAAACCCAAACCCAACAGGAACGCTTAGTTCAGGCGCTAAGCTCGGGAAGAACTGACACTCCTCAGGCCCGCAGCAGGAAAAAGTCCTCCATTTCCTTCCCCGACCAGACCCCAGGCTGGCCCACGCATCCGAGCCCCGGAGGCAGGCCGCCTCAGGGTTACCCGCTCCGGCCGGCCCGCAGGAGGGTCACTCACACGCCGCTCCGCCAGCCGACGACTTTGTTTTTGTAGCAGGCGATTTCGAAACGCTTCCCGGCGCGCTTCATGCGCACCACGGCCACATTGGTTAGGCGGATCTGGTTGGTGGGGGTGAAGATCGACATCGTGGCTGCTCACAGGCCTTGGGTCCGACGAACCGCGGCGGACCTGCACCGGCCTGAGAGCCACCTGCCTCGCAGTAACGACCAGGCGGCACGCGGGA